GCCGCTCCCGGCCACCGCAGCCTCAACCTGCTGGGCTTTGGCGATCCTTCCGCCTCAGCCTTCCGAGCAGCTGGAACTACAGGCATGTGCTACCATGCCCAACTAATTTTTTGATTTATTGTAGAGATGAGGTTTTGCCAAGTTGCCCAGGCGGGTCTCGAACCCGCAGGCTCAGGCAATCCACTCAACTCAGCCTCCCAAAGGCGCGGGATTACAGGCTGAGCCATCGAGCCTGGCCCCCCAAAGACTCTTATCATCACGTCTCTCCCACTGCTTTCCTCTCTGACCTCATCTCTCCCACCCCCCTCCCTCAGTCTGTCCCAACTCTACTCCCCAGCCCCCTTGTCCCTGACATCCACACTCCTCCTGACATCCACACTCCTCCTGCCCTCCCTGCCTGCAAGTTTTGGCTCAGTCCTCACCTCCTGGAGGTCCACCTTGACCTTTCTAGTGGATGTTGTAACTCACTCCCCGGCCCCCCACCTGTCTGCACTCCATCTCTCTTAGACTGCTTTGTTTTCCCCAAAGTCCTAATCACCCTCTATCATTCTATGTAAGTCAGTTATTCATTATTGTATTAGTTCTCTGCCTCCTCCCATTGGAACATGTGCTCCATGAGGACAGGTTTATTTCATATCCTGTCGTTTATGGTAATTCCCAATACCTGGAGCAGTGCCTGTAACAGAGAAGGCATTGAGTAAGTGTTTGCTGGATAAAAGAACAAAAAAACAAATGAACAGATGAATGAGAGGTACCAACCCAAGCCCAGCCTCTCTCCATATGCAGGCACAGAAACCTAGCGTGTTCTCTCCCTGGCACCAAGGCCATGGCACTTGGCACCCAAGAGGCCTCCAACTCAGACAAAGTTAAGTGTAAAAGGAAGGCAACAGCTGGGCATGGTGCTCAGGCCTGCAATCCCCGCACTTTGGGAGGCTGAGGCAGGAGAATAGTTTGAGTCCAGGAGTTCAAGATCAGCCTGGGAAAAATAGCAAGAACCTGTCTCTATTTTTTAAAAAAAATGAAGCCGGGCTCAGTGGCTCAGCCTATAATCCCACACCTTTGGGAGGCTGAGGTGAATGAACTGCCTGAGTCTGCGGGTTCGAGACCCACCTGGGCAGGCGAGACCTCATCTCTACAATAAATCAAAAAAAATTAGCTGGGCGTGGTAGCATGCGCCTGTAGTTCCAGCTACTTGGAAGGCTGAGGCGGAAGGATCGCCGGAGCCCAGCAGGCCGAGGCTTCAGTGGCCGGGAGCAGCCAGCCACTGCACTCCAGTCTGGGCGACAGTGAGACTCCAACTCAAAAAAAAAGAAAGCAAACAAAATTGAGAACAGGATCAGAGAAGGTCATTTCCTGGACCCCACAACAGCCCCTGACACCCTGCAGGGCACGATGGATGGTCCCTCCTCATGCTCCCCCCTCATTCCCTTCCGAAGAGCACCAGCTGGGAGGCGGGAGCTGGGCCCACAACTCCCTCCCCCCCATCAGCCACACAGTTTCCACAGCAACAACAGCTTCCTCCTTAATGCGATTAAACAGCTGGATGGGGCTGATAAGGGGGACGGTCCGGCATCCTGAATGGACCACATGACAGGGGCTCCCACACAGCAGACACCTCTCCATGGGCTTGCTGGCTGAAATCCCTGTGAGTAGGTGTGAGAACCCCAGGGCTTTCTGCCCCAGTGCTGCCAGGGACTTCCCAGTTCCCAGGGCCCCAGGCCTGTTGACAGACTCTGTCATGAGGAGAGTCACTACTTCCTTAATCTGTGTGGTGGGGGGCAGGGGGAGGGGAAAGCCGCCAGGGTTGGGCAGCTTCCGAGGCCACAGATTGGGAAGGGCTTGACTGACAAGATTACTTATCTCAGCAGAAACGGAGATTCAGAAAGGGTAAGTAAGGCCCAGCTCTGATCTCTATTCCATCTCACTGAGGCACCTCAGCACCAACGGGAAGCCCTCAGACGGCCTAGGGGTCAAAGGCTGGTGTGCTGGGCCGGCCCAGGGCTCACAGGCCCGGATGGCCAATCTACTCCTGGAAGGGGCCCACCTGCCCACAGGGCTTTGGTTCGTGGACCTCACTGTAGGCCAGGATTGTCATTCCATGTTCATGATAGCTGGGACCCATGGCTAATGGTGGGATTTGGACCCAGGGAGTCTAGTCCCAGAGTTCCAGCCCCTAACCACAGGGTCACACAGCATTTCCTCTACACCCTGTAGGGCTCTGGCTTGACGTCCCACCTTGAGGATTGAACACACACGTTCTGATCACCTTTTGGCCATGCAACCCACTCCCGAGTCACATGCTTTTTGCAAGTCTTCTCCCAGAGCTGAGGGGGAGGGGCCGCCTGCACCTGCAGAATGGACCAGCCGGGGTTATGGGAGCCCCTGGACTCGAAACCTGAATATCCAGTCAGAAGGAGAAATACAGGCTGAGGATCAGGCCCCATTCACGCCCCCACCCTGCTCCCTGCCAGCTCCACACCCTGGATCCAGCACCAGGAACAGAAACAGCCCCAGATGGGGGAGGGGGGAGGCCCAGCAGTCCCAGCAATGGTACACCAGGTCTCACCCACCCCCGGCCCCCCGGGATCCTGCCCCATTGAGGAGGGGTGGACATAGTTCAGGTGCTCTGGCTCTGACTCCTGGGCGGATCAGCCGTAGTCCCTGCCAGGACCTCCCTCCCTGGAGGCCTGCCCATGCTTCAAGGCCATTTCCCGTCTGGGGGCCAGTAGACAGGATTGGCAAAACTCCCTCCCAAATGCCACTCCCCTGGCTCACTTCCTTCACTACATCTCAGGCCCACAGAGACCCAGGTCCAGGATACATGAGTGAACAGCAAGGCTGGGGAGAAGCTACTCTGGGGCCTCAGGGAGCCAAGTCCCCTAGCCAGAAGCCAAGAGCTCAGAGGTCAAAGCCATCCATCATCAGGTTTGCTGCTGCCTGCTGAGATGGAGGACGGAAGTCCGGGAGCCCTGGCCTGGCAGGGAGGGCTGGGTTCCTGGGGGAGGAGGCAGAGCTTTGGTGTCCTGTAGGCTGAGGTGTGTCTGCCTCCTGCCCACCTGCCCCTGCTGGTTTCCCCAGTGCTCTGCAAGTCACTGTCTTCATTTGAGAGTTGAAATATGTTGACATTGGCTCCTTGGCCGCTACTCATATGTCCTGGTAGCCATCTACAAGGAGGGCAGGGGAGGCCTGATACACAAGAGCTCTAAAGTGTAAAGGGTCTTAATGACGGCCTTGACCCCCAAGACTGAGGTTCACCCTCCTAGAATCATCACTGGGCAATTCCAGACCTGAAGGGGTCCCAGAGCCCATCTAAGCCCCACGAGAGCCCAGAGAAAGTGAGTCATTTGCCCAAAGTCACCCAGCTAGTGAGAGGTAGAATTGGGACTAGCTAGAACAGAGCAGGAGACAGAAGGGGCTGAACCTCTAGGGGACCAGGGCTTTGCACCTCCCTAGGTAGGTAAACAGCTCAGGGCGGTGTGAGGGCACCTTCCCCCGTGGGCCTGATGAGGGGAGACCCATGGGCCTCTACCATAGCTGCCGCTCAGTAAACTCTGTGTCTAGAGCAGGGAGAGAGCTGGGGAAAGGGGAGTTTGGAAATTTCAGAGGAGGAACCAGAGAACCCGGGGCCCACATCTTCCCGCTTCCCAGTGGGTCAAAGAATCTCAGGATCCCCTTCCTTCCCTGGCTTGAATCCTCTCTCCAGCGTCCCCACCAAGCGGTCACTAACCATGTCCTTATACACCCCCCAGTGATGGGGAGCTCACTACTTCTCAGGCAACCCGAGTCATATTTGGACAGTTTTCATGGTCAAGACCTTCAGATTGCTGACTTCCTGGGACCCTCAGATCAAGGTTAATTCTGCAGACAGGCGTTTACCTGGGGCCCTTCCTCTACATACTCCCTTCACCACTCTGGAGCACCCCAATGTCGATTGCTTAGAACAGAGCCATCCTTCTGGCAGTGGCAGCAAGGCAGAGCAAAGGAATGCCACCACTTCCCTTGTTCTAGAGGCATCCCTGGCTTCATGAGTAGTGAGGTAGTTTGGTTACACAGTACACTTTTTTGGAACGCATGTCCATAAAAATGCCCAAGGCACATTCAGAGAGGTTGGCAACCTGGTCCCAAGTGGAGTAAGGTGAGAAAGAAATTCAGAGAGAGCTCATTCACCCAGCAGGAGGCGCGTGCAGGTCTCGGTTTGTGCACCTGTGTCCCCCTCAAGGCTCCTACCCTCAGGTTTAGCCAGGATCAGCCCCCTGCTCCCCACAGACAGCTGGAATGGGAGCCTCTGCTCCAGTATCCTTGCCAGCCCTTTTAAAAAATAAGTACTCTCAGATCTAGCTTTGCTACTTCATTTCTCCTCCCTCCTCATCCCAGGAATGTCAGAACCTGCCACCCACAGAGTTTCTCAGTTCTCAGACTCATCACACATTCCCTGTCTCATTTGATCCCCGCAAAAATCTCGTGAGGTGGGTTAATTCCCCATTTCACAGGCGGCAAAACTGAAGCTCTGAGGACAAGTTAGTGAAAGTCTTGGCAGAGTAAACAAGTGAGCACCCCACCCCCTTTCCCTCTTCACCCGAGTTCAGATACTTCTTGGCTACTCTGGACCACTTCCCACAAGGTGGGTCACCCATAGGCCCCTAAGGCAAAAGGTTCAGGGTAGGAACACCTGAATAACATGCAATGCAAATGAGAGGCAAAACAGCACACCACAGATGAATAGCCCAGAACTCTAGGCCTCTTGGGTAATGAACTTTAGATTAGGTTCCAGCCCCTGCCTGGGACCCTCTCTCCTCTTGGCTCTGCAGACACTCAAGAGACTGTACGGGGGGCCTTCATGCTCTGTCCATATACCTCCCCCACTCACCAACCACACTAGTGCATCCCGGAGTCGCTTTTGGGAGTCAGAAGATAGAGATTGCAGTGGGAAGAGGGTAATCAGTTTCCTGTCACTTAAGGTATCCAAGCAGAGACCCCCACAAGTACTTCAGAATATAGAGGAGCCGGGCTTGGTGGCTCAGCCTGTAATCCCGCGCCTTGGGAGGCTGAGGCGAGTGGATTGCCTGAGTCCGCGGGTTCGAGACCCGCCTGGGCAACTTGG